AAGAACGATTACTTGTCAAGAGAACGAAATCAATCCCTCCCCCCCAGCCCCCCCCAACCCCCCCTAACCCCCATAAAAACACTGAAGCAACTCGTACCGCTTTCCCCTCAAAACACGAAATTTGCGGCAAACGAAGGTGATGGAACCTATTCTTCGCAGCATCTCGAAAGAACGACACCAGCAATAATCTTGCCAGCATATCTCACACATGCCCCGTGGCTAAAAAATACGAAGCACGCAGTTGCTTGCAGCAAAATCACACATGATCATTTTCCTCGTATGAGAACAGTCCAGTTCCTGTGGTTTGGTCCTGTGGACCTCGTGGTGAAGCGCTGTCTTCAACAGCAAGACACCGATGGCATGTTGCCAAGATGGGAACAGGATTTTTTGCTCACGCGCACGCCACAGACCGCATCACGCGTCCTGGCTAGCAACTGCCGCTGGGATTGCATGGTGAAGGCAGTGGAGCCCTAGAAATATGAAGACTGGATGATATTCGGCCATTAAACCAACGTAGTTTTGAAGCATCTAGGCTCCGATGTACACTGAATCCCTTACTCCAACTCAGCCTCCACCGCGCCCAGCCATAACATTGGCGGTGAGACGGAGCGCCAGATGCTGCAGCTTTATGCAGCGCTTGACGGCCACATCTCTGAAATCTTCGCCGAATTCCACAAGGCTGTCTGTGTCAGCCCTGTCTGGGAGCTGGTTTGCCAGGAGGTCTATGCCCAGGACTTCCGTCATCATCGGCTGAGGTTTTAGCGACCGCACTCGCAAGCCTGGCGGCCGGGCTTTGATGGCGATTTGTCCAGCATTGCCGGGACCCGTCCCCAGCGCCAAGTGTAGCGGAGTGTTGTCTCCACAGCCGGGTCGCCACGAGATGAGCCCAAGGCTCATCACCTCATTGGCCGCCTCCACGTCAGCTTCGATGAGCTTCTCCAGCTCATCTTTCGGGATGTGCAGAAATTGCAACAAAGCCTCCACCGAAAGTTCTGTGACGTCAGCCATCACATCCACACGGGATGCCCACCTCTTCGTTGCATCAAGGGGCCCAACTGCACCCATCGGCTGAGGTGTGCCGGTCTCAATCTCCGCTGAAATTCCGGCACACCTGGGGCTGTGCACTGCACAGAGACGCATTGTAGGCAGTTGGTTTCTCTAGAATGCCAGGTCAAATGGCAGAAGGAGATGCGAGGTCCAAATACCATTGTCTATCAATCCCTCAAAAACTCTTGTGTTGCACCAGCTCAACTTCCCGAAGCCTAATGAACTGGATAGCTGCATTAACAACGCTTCTACTACAGGATTATCAGCTGTGAAATCGGCTTTGAATTATGTTTTTTGCCTTCGCCCACCTAGACTCGTGTTTTTTGAGGCTCCATCCGAAACCATGAAGCCCGAAGAAACCCACGTTGACGCCACAATGACGGCAGCGAGCCCTTGCGCAAGGCCGGCACAAGCGCGACATTGCACTAATCGAGACACAAGCCGCTCGAGCGTCGCTGCAGCAATCGACTCAACTGATCCACGTGGACAGTCTGTTCAACGCTTGACTGTTCTTGATGTTGGTGTTACTGTTCTTGTTGCTGTTGTTGCGGTTGATTTGGAGGTCCTTCGGGAAAAGTATTTAGGGACCCTAATGACAATTCGGGGACCAGAATTTCTTACAAACTACCAGGCTCCAAGCTCTAAGCCCTAGACCCTTCGGGAAATCTATGTTCCAAGGCACCCAGTACACGTTGATCAGGGCTGTTGTAGATGGCTTCGCGGGCTTTACATACTCTAGGAGTCCTCCTAGACTCATTTGAGGGGCCCTAGTCTAATTCGAGACACATTGCCGAATTGGAGTATATCGGGCCATGTGAGCTCTGGAATTACCATCTTGCGAGGTATACAGGAACCTGGATTCGAGCGCCTGTCGTCTTGCAACTCCTACAACAAGGGTCCCATAGTTCCCTTTCTCTCAACATAGATTTTGGCAGTACTGTGCCTTGGCCGTAAGCCTCTGAGGCGCTTCAAGGGCTCCATGTACGAATGTTGAGGGTCATATTGGGATAGTGGAAAACAAAATGGAAACTACTATGGTATGATAGGCTTAGGGGTTATATTGGGGTCATATCTTATATACTCCCCACAGATTCCATACAAATATTATATGGGTTGATACTAAAAAAGTTGGACCTATACCTTCGCAGTTCTGCTATTCTACTATACTGAGGTCGTGCCGGAATTTTCTTATCAGCAGTAAAGGGGCCCTTGTGGGGTTTAGGATTTAGTGGACTTGCATTTGAAAGTTGAACAAGGCAAACGTTCAACACCAGCTGGGCATGCTGCAATCACGCACCCACAGGTGATGCAAGCTGCCACCTGCTCACTGGGCTACGGCTTACCTGGAGCCTGGGGGTTATGAACTATCCAAACCATAAACCCTAAGCCCTAAACCCTAAACCGTGTATGCCAGAGCTTGCCTTGGAAGGATGTTCGTATTTTGGCATGATGGCCTTGATGCAGGGCCACTTGTAGACAGCTTTCCATGCTTGCTATGAAGATATATGGGGGTTTCCCAAAAATTAGGGGTAGCTTTTAGGGTAGGGACCCAAAAAGGGACCATAATTTTGACTACCACCCATATATGAAAAGCCTTACACAGTGGTCCTAGTAGTGGAAAACCCCAAACGGCTATCAATGTTGCAATTCATGGTCTGGATTCTTATGCCGGTGTCTGATCAAGGACTTGTATACCCCAACATGCAGGCCACGCTGCCCTAAAGCCCGCCTGCTTTTGGGAACACGCGTGTTTAGGCTCCTTGTGGATTACTGCATTCGGGGGAATTGCCTGTGGCAGGTCTTCAAATCAGGAACTCTCTGCACATACGCCCCGCATAACGTCAATGTCGAAGTCCATGCCGCCGCAACAAAGGCTTTCATGGTTTGATAGCCATGGCCTTCGAAATAGTCGTAGAAGAACAAGTAGTAGCAGCAGTAGTAGCAGCGGTCGTCGACGTAATAACCATAAGAGCAAAAAAGAGATACTCCCGCCTCGAGTGGCTTTGTGGAGCAGACATCTCCATCTTCGGAGCCCTTTCAGGGCACATGCTCAGGCCTAAACCTTTAACCCCAAAGTTTTTCCATCCTCTGCTTGCAAGCAAGCATGGGACTCGCTGGTTTTGCTCAATTTCTGCTGCGACCGGAAGCTTAAACTAGTATCGCAGGCTATTTCCGGCGCACTAATACCAACGGTGGTATGGTAGAGTTTTTGCAGGAACCGAAACCACTATTAATCAGTATCCCTTGTGCCCGCAATATATGAAGGTGTGAGGATCGGCTGATTAGCATCTTGGAAAACTACTAACTGCAACTGGCTGCAACCTTGTCAGGGCTATGCATGACCGTGCTTCTAGCTACACACATCTGTGGACAAACACTTCCTCAGGCGCTGCAATCTGAGAGTGAAGTCGATGTCACAGCATTTGGAAGTCCCCAGAGTATCCGATGCAGCAGTAATTAGAACCGGGTTGGACCCTAACATCCTTTGAAAAAATATTAGTATATAGGGTCCCTTATTAAACCATTAGGGAAAATATTAAGAAAATGCCTTGTCAAGGTGCGGTCTATCGTGCACCCTCCAGCCTAAATGAGACCCAACAGAGGGAATCAGGCTTCGTCTTTGGACCTACTGTGAATAAAGTAAATCTTGCACCACAGTATATGCCCAGTACTACAGAAACGGCAGAATGGTGAGGGTTGGAGGTGATGCATTAGGTGGACCCCCCACCCAGCAATAGTGACTTTAAGGGATACTGGTAACTATATTATGGTCCTCTTATATTCCCATTATACCATTATTACAGGGTGGGGGGTCCACCTAAGTTATAGGTGATGCAAAACTTTCTCCATCCATCCCAACTCCTGGCTTCGATGCGCAGAATCATCACAGCTGAACAACTGAGGTGTGCGGACTACCCCCACCCGCGAGAACATGGAATTCCGTAGAAATGTCTAGCCTTAAGGGTCCAAGTACTCAATAATCATATACTTACCAAAACAAAAACCTGCACTAAGATTAAGATTACCAAGATCCCAAGTACCTACTTAGTGGGTACTTGGACCCTTAGGGTAGGAGAATTGAACTTTCAGGCTTCGTGTTTGCGTGGGAAGGGTAATGCCTAAACCCCAAGCCCTTGAGCGTAAGCCGTGGGAGTCCAGGAAAACCTCCCAGGGATGATTCCAAATGCCAAATGTTGGCAGCTAAACTCCTTATGTCGGGCTTAGGGTTTAGGATTAGGTTTAGGGCTTATAGTCTAAACTGCTTAAGCGCGTTATATAGGAGATTATATAAGGGAGTATTATAGGGGTTATTAAGGGGGACACTAGGAGTGTAGGCTATAGCTCATATCACTATAGCCCAAATGGCTTAAATAAGATTTTCTCTGCGTGTGTGTGCGTACAAAAATGTAGATACACATGCGCTATAGCGATATAAGGGGTATACGGGAACAATAACAGCAAATTATCCAGGTTTCAAGATTTTTCTTCCGGGTTTAGGTCGAGGCCGGGCAACACCCATATTTCCCACAAGCATCATAAACAGCCTCTTGGCTACGTAATTAAAGCAGAAGAAATTGCCAGGACTTCAGTCTTTAAGCCATAGTACAGCACCTAGGATGCGTTCGGCTGCATTCGTTACAGTGTATCCTGATGCACAACTGTACTATTCAAGTCAGTGTAGGGGTTCGGGCTTAGGGACCTGGTTCCTTACCGGGCTTTAGATTCAGGGTCGGCCCGGGCCGTGACACGGAAACCCTCACCCCCAATACCCACAATGGTAGTAGCAATAGTACTAAAACCCTAAGGGTCCAAGTACCCAATAATCATATACTTACCCAAAACCTATACTATGATTACTATTACCCAAATCCCAAGTACCTAATTATTGGGTACTTGGACCCTTAGGGAAAGTAATCAGATTATGCCTCAGAGAGCTCATCTGAGTCAGCACCATCGCCTCTGAGGCTGTGGTTTAGGGTTTAGATCTTATTACTTAGCAGGACCCCCCGCCCTGTAATAGTGACTATAAGGGATACTAGTATATTAGGGTCCTCTTATATTCCTATTATACCACTATTACGGGGTGGGGGGGGTCCTTAGATCTTATTACCCTCTAGGTACAGACATAGACCATGCCTCGAACTAATGGGTAAGAGTGTTTGTTTTTTTGTTGTCTGGTCTTTTTTGCTGTTTGGGCTTTTCGGGTGTCATTT